GCTGCCTACAATTATTCTCCCTGAATGCTGATATCAAACACAAAGGTACCCAGAGACCGTCGAGCTCTCCTGGAGGCAGGGAGAGGGAGTTTGGGATGATGTCAGGACTTGCATGGTACAGAAAGGAGCTGAGCAGAGAGCTAGGGCTAAAGTCAAAGGGGAGGCAAGTACCCTGGCAAGCAGTCACCTATCCAGTGAGTTCTCCCCCATGTTTTCACATGGACTCTCGTGTTCCAGGCACTTTAGGGGAGCAAGATGGCATGCGTTCATTACTTCAACTCGTCCTGGGGCCCTACTCTGGACTAGGCACCTTATAGATGAAGAAACCAGACTTCAGGGGGTGGGGACTGTACTTCCCCCACTGTAATGATCAGAACCAGATGGATCATGTTCAAGAGGAAGATGCAAATGGTTTCTCAGAGAGCTGTGCAGGTCTGGACTCCAGAGCCCTGGGCCCAAAGCCAGGCTGCCCAGGTGTGAGGTTCTGCTCAGCTGTCGACACAGCTGGGTAAACTGAGGACCAAACCTTTCTTCTGGAGCTTCAGTTGGCCATCTGTGAATGAGGTGATGCAGCAGATTCCTTGTAAACAGTTGTGAGGATTAAGCGCGTTAATGCTCTCAGCTCATTAACTCAACACAATTGCTTAGCACCATGCCTTGCACTCAAATGCAGATTACTACATGTAAAGTATGTGCCATACTTTGTACACTGGGAAGCCACACACTTGAAAAAAGCATGATAGAAAATACTGGCAGGAGTCCAAAGTGCCTCAGACTGCCCTTCGCTGGTGGGTAAACCTGGGGTGGGGGTGGATAAAGGTAGGGGTTAAGGTGAGGATACAGACTTGGAAAGGGCTCTGCTTAGGAGTCACACAGCCCTGCAGTGTGCCACCAGCAGTGACCTCCTTCTGGCTCTTATTCTGATCACTGCAAGATCCGGTGCTCCTAAAGAAGAGACAGGGTGTAACAGGAGATGATGAGGTAGTAAATCCAGAAGCAGCAGGATGGGTGTCTTCAATCCTAGACTGCCTTCCCGGTCAAGGCAGCTTTCTAGAACCTTCAGGGTAAGGGGAGACCTTGGCACCCACCATACCTTCAGTGAGAACCTTGATACATACTGACCAACATGCACCGCGGCTCACAGGTGGCCCCTGCATCAGGCTCTGTCGCATAGAAGGGCACAGGCCCTAAGGTATGAGATCACCGGTGTGGCGCCTCCTTTTTGCGAAACTTAGGATCCGGCGCCACCGTGTGGCCATGGGAGGAAGCTGCCTACACAGAATATAGGCAGCCCAATAAGCAGGGCCTGGACATGCTCAAGGGCTCAGGAAGGTGGTGTCTCCCTGAAGCTCGTTCCCTGAAGTTCCTGGGACTGAGAGGAAGGCAAGGTGTGGTGAAGCTCAGGGAAGGTTGTAGCATCACTTGTCCTGGGAATAGCTGGATCCATGTCTCCAAGAGGAGCTGGGGTCCTTGCACACCAGAGGAAGCATTTGACACTATACTGCAGAGGACACTTCCCATGGCAAGAAGTCAGAAAGTTTGGATGTAGATTCAGGGATGCCTACCATGTACAATGGAGATACAGGAATCAGTTTTAGACTCTGGTTTTAGGGTCCTGGTCTATAAAGTGGGCTAGGCTAGGTTTGTGTCCGCATCTAGTTTATTACAAGCCAGCAAACATCCCTCTGTTGCAAACCAGGGAGCAAAACTATAAGATGGAAGAGAGAGTAGCCAGCTGATTGTGGTGGTACACAGTACTCAGGACATGGGGGGGGGGTAAAATGTTCAAAGTTATTCCAAGCGATATAGCTAGTCTAAGGCCAGGCTGAGCTACATGAGATCCCGTTCCAACAAGCAAGCAAACAAACAGAGCTAGGAGGGAAAGAGAGGGTCTAAATATCTGGCAGTACCAAGCTCCACTCTGATTTCCTCTTTGCTCTCACCCCAGGGCAGAGGCCTTGGTGGCCGGGAGGTGTGGCATCCAAGCCCGGGTGCCCCCAGCCAGGGAACAGGTTCTGGCTTGGCTTCCATGCCCCTCCGTGGAACGACTTTCTCCTTATACCTTGAAACTCTGATGCAGGAGAGGAATGAAGCAAGTATGGGCATCACCCTGGGACTGTGATGCCTAGACATAGTTCTGCTACACGCTGCTACAGCAAACAGGTCACTTCTGAGAGAGGCCAGCTGTGGTCTGAGCATACCCTGAGAGAGCTGGGTGGTGGCCTGTCTCTGGTGTGGGTCAGTGCATGTAGGTAGAGCTGAGTTTGGGATTAATGTGATACACATTACCACAGCTCTGCCAAACATGCAGCTGTTCTTTCCAAAGCATCATCCAGGGTCGTTTCCCTTCCACTCAGGAAGACAACAGCTCCTCACCGGGTCCTCCCTGCCCACTGTGACTGACACCACCCCCTGTCCTAATGGCATCATCCCAAACTTTGACCCTTTATCCCTCATTTCCATTTTTTATTCAATTCCTCTCTCCCTCCCTTCTCTTTCTTTCCCCCCTCTCCTTCTGCCTCCCCCCCCATCTCCTGTATTTCTTGGTTTTGTTTTTCTCTTTCCCTCTCTCCTCCCTCCTTTCCATACTGGATCCACAAGGCTCTGTATTCCAGTGTCCTTCCCTTCTCGAGCCCTTTCCTTGGTTCTTTGATGCCAGAAATCTGCACAACTACCTAGAGCAGCAAAACACAGGAAGTGCAAGCCCATGATAGAACCAGAATGCAGTGCTCAGCTTCACCCAGCCTCAGTTTCCCCACTTCTGAGATGGCAATAAGAAGGCCTGCTTATGAGGTGTCAGAGACACCCAACTGAGGCCCGGCACACCCGAACCTCCCCCAAGTCCCTTCTGCAGTGTAGCCTTAACGCTGTGTATGGTTGTGTGTATGGTTCCAATGTTGACCTAACATACAAAACTGTGTCTCTGCTCACTGCAGAGATGAAGAAACTGGTGTTTATCTATACTTCCCCAGTGGAGAATCCATTCGAGACAGTCACCTGAGTCTCCATGAAGTCTCTTAGGGACCTATGAGGAATCCTCTGTCTTTTGGTCTCCCAGCTGGAGCTCATTGTGGCTGCATGACTATTGGAGTTCACAGCCTTGGCCCAGTGGGGCATGTCTTGCAGACCACTGAGCTTTCATTCTCCCAGGTTCAGCACACAGCTGCCGTTCTGGAGTGTGGGTCAACATTTTGCAACTAGAGGTAGCAGCGCTTTACAGTTTTAAACTGTGTTGGGAACATGTGCTTTCCAGTCTGGCCTTTACATATGAGTTCCCATCTCTGCAGTGTTCAGGTGATGCCCCTATGCTATCATGAGGACAGCCCATCTCCCATCAACCACCTGCATTTCACACCTTTGTCTCCAGCATGCGTAGGGTCCACCACTAAGATGTCAGGAGAGCATGGTTCTGCCTGGAGTTCTCAGCCCCAGAGTATTCCCAGGATGCACTTGTTTCTTTCACAGGTGCCACACTGGGCAATGAGATGTATCAGGGTGCCATCAGCAGGTCCCTCCCTACACACACGCACACAGGGCTGCTGTGCTCCAGGGGGAAGCAAGAAAGACAGATAAAAAAAGAGCAGGAGAGCTAGCTGGTGAGATGTTGGAGCTGAATGAAGTGAGGCCCTAAGCCCCCAGGAGGGCTGGTGGTTATTCTGAGCACTGGGGAACCAGATGGCAGAGTGGCCTCCATGCCTGCACTTTAGAACCTTCTGAGAGCACTCTGGCTGCCTAGTGAAGAAAGGTTCTTACAGAGCAGGAGTGGGTAGCGTGTGCCATTGAGGAGGTGCCGGTGTCGATGCATGGAGAGGACAGAGAGGGCTATCCAGCAAGCTCAAGTGGGCAGTGTCTGAGGGCCGCCGAGCCTGAAGAGGGCAGTCAACTCTGTGTTCCATGTGTATGGTTCCAGCTCAGGAATGTGTCACTGTGTGTATAGCTCCATTCTTGATCCTGACCGTCAGAGCTCTGCTTCTGACCTTTGCGTTTGGACAGGACTCTATCCAGACAGATCTACCCATATTCTGGGCTCTTCCTACATCCTGGGACCCACCCATAGCATGACTATGGTTTCCTTCCCAGGCCAAGGCCTGGACTCAGTAGATCTCCCAAATCCTTGGAGACACAGCTCCAGAAAGTTCTGGTGATAGTGAGGCTGACATAGGAAGAGTGCCCTCTGCACATGTGCTCACTACCCACCCTGTGAAGCATCCTCAATGAAGATGAGGGCCTGGCACACTGAACGGGAGTCACTGTTTCAAGATGACACAGTTCTCAATGCTGACCTGCAAGCCCAGGTTCTCCAACTAGACCTGCTTCCTTGGGCTTTTGCAGCTTCCCATAGTGTCTGGGTATCCTAGCCCTTCTGAGAAGTGTCAGTAGATTTGTGACTGTCCCGGCATAGAGGCTCCCTACAGGCCTTAGTGGCCAATGACCTTGGACCAACTTCCGTTTGACCCCCTCCCCCATTCCACCATCTGAGCCCACACAGGGAAGGCAGTAACCTTCCAGAGGCCAAACTGGTCCCTATGGGAGTATGCCTACCTCCTCCCACGTGGGTATGGCCAGCCAGAGAGTGGCACTTAGGAACATCACAAGTCGGTTCCTTTCATTTCAGGAGTGGCAAAACTGCCAACCTCATTAGAATGCCTCCCACCCCCATCCCTATTCTGTACCTCAAGAAGCCTACCTGACTCTGAGCTCATCTGAAATGCTCAGCTGATGGGCTTTCATTTCCTGTACGTATAAGTGGAGGCCAGGATGGAGAGGACTGGCTTGGGGTCCCTCACTGGGCCAGCTCCCTCCAGTGACTGGGGCCCTATGCCTCTCCACTTTATCCTGTTGACTCTGAATCCCACCCAAGCCAACACCCCCTCCCCCGGACTTCTGTAGGAGGTTGGGGAATGCGAATGCAGGCTGTTTGGGATTTGGGGAGCGGATTGTTGTCCTTCTGCTACCCCCCATACCCACCCACACATGTGTTCTGTTCTGTCTCCCCACAGATATATCCGCACCATGTACCTGGGGATTCAGAGCCAGCGGCAGAAGGAACACCAGCGACGTTTCTACTGGGCTATGATGTATGAATATGCAGACGTCAACATGCTGCGCCTCCTGGAGACCTTTCTGGAGAGCGCCCCCCAACTGGTGCTACAGCTCTGCATAATGATCCAGAAGAACAGCGCAGAGACGCTGCCCTGTGAGTGCCTGCCTGCCACTCCCCCAGCATTACTCTCCCCACCCTACCCCCACCTCCTACCCCATCTCCCCACCCCGGAGCAGAGCACCAGCTGCTCCCCAGCATCACCACGGTCCTCTCCATCCCCCACTCCAGCTGCAACTGCCTCATTTGCCTAAGGGTCCTGACTCTGATTTCTGATATCCGGACCCAGCCCACTCTGCAGATGCCAGGGACACAAGTGTTTCCTCAGCACTCCTGCACCCGAGACACTTGGTTCGTAAAGAAAAGAGCAGTTCCATGTGCTTCTGGATAGCAGAGTCAGTCTGCTCCCAGCAGTTCAGGGTCCTGACAATCTGATCAAATGTGAGTCCCCTAGGGTTTTGCATTGCCCTGGGCCATGGTGTTTCTACCTGTGTGGAATGGGGCTAACCAGGCCTAAAGACCGCATGTGCTGGTAGCACTGAGTCATGGCTGGTCTTACTTCTGGTTTTGCACATTTTAAACTTCAGGATCTTGCTTCCGATGCATGTAGATGTTTCAGCTCACTTGTAGCAACAGGCTGGTGATGGTGCTCCAATGAGCACACACAAAGGAACACTGTGCTCCTGGCTGTGACCTCAGGTAGTCTCTCTGGGGCCTCAGAAGTCACAGAGCATTGTCTAGACATGCAGGCTCCATGGTAGGAAGGCTCTGGGATGTTAGGGATGCCAAGGTTAGACTGCACTGGTCTTATTTATAGCTGATGGCTAGGCTAGCCTACAGTGCTGCCGAGAGCATACCAGGAAGTCAGGGAGGCACCCTCTTGGTTGAGAAAAAAAAAAGGTAACTGAGGTAGAACATGGAGGGAGAAATGGGATATTTAACACAGGGTGGGGAGTGGATGGCAACCTTGGGATGTGTGAAGCCTAACATTTAAGGAATGGGGGAGAAGAAATGTCACAGATGCCAATGTATACTCCTGGGGAACAGTTACACCATCAGTGGGTGAGAAAGAGAAGATTGTTTGTAGAGGCAGTGAGTGCCCGGCTGCCAGGCATATTCAAGCAGAGGCACTGCTGAAGGAACCAGACCCAGAGGTCCTAGCTGCTGAGGCTTAGAGACATATCCATGGTCTGGGATAGCAGGGCAGCTGGGAGACAGGGGCCACCCCATTTGCCTCTGCTCTCTTTCTGGTGGACTCAAAGCTTTTCACGTGAGCTCCTTGGCCCACTGGCTCTAACTGGTTGGCTGTGGGGTGGCGCCTTCCCTCCCTCTGCCATGAATGTGGAGGTATTTAGAAACATGCTAAGGCTGTAACCATCTCCTTGCTGGTTCGGGTTCCTGCCATCTTGGCAGGCATTATGGGTTTAGGGTGGGTTTGGAAAGCAGCCTGGGCTACTGGGAAAGGCAGAGAATTGCATACAACTTGAGCTCAGCCATGTAGACTTAGTGTGTGGGACGATTCATTTCCCAGCTGTGTTTTTTTTTTTTTTTGTCAGTGACGTGGGAATAAGAATTGCTTTGGGGTGTTGTGAAAGTTTGTTGAACTTCACGTACACTCCACAGCACACAGCCTAGCATCACAGACCGGCATGACTCTGGAACGTGTAAACACATTGCTGAGGCCTGAACTAACTGTGGAGCTGGAGGGAGCCCCTTAGAGGCAAGGGTCAGAGAAAACTTTTATTGAAGGCTCTTATTTAGTCTGAGTGTCAGCAACAAGGAGAGAGGCAAAGTAATGGCCTTTTGTGCTTTGGGAATAGCATGTCCAAAGGTCCTGGGGTAGGAAAAAAAAAACTTCCTCTGTGGAAGAATACAGCAATGGTGATCTGAAAGTGAAACACAGCATGGCTAGAGCTTGGCAGTGGAGCAGGGGAATAGGGTGGAAGGCAGGTTCCAGAGGAAGCACCTAGTGGGCCCCACAGAAATTAAAAAACATTATGTGCCAGAAGCCATAATTTCAACAACTATGTGGTTGAGCATTTCCATGTAGAGATGAAGAAGACAGAATCGTCCTAGGAATCCCACCAAATACTGAGAAGTTGGATGTTACACGTGCCAAGTGTGGTGCAGATCCCTGGGGTCTGAGCTTTGTGTGCCCTTACATTCTCTCAGTCAGCTAATGGGCAAGAACAGAAGTCCCTGAACAGGGCGGGTGCTTGAAGTGGGGTTGGAACCTGAAGGTAGAATGACCTATGACCCCAGAATGGGACTAGCTACATGCTCCGGACGGGTTGTGCTCTGGGAGCACCTCAGAGGCATGTTTCTTCCCTAGAATCTCCCTAAGCAACCCAGGCTGACAGCTTCTGTTTACTTTGTGCTTTGTTGAGACAGGGTCACTCTGTGTAGCATTGGCTAACCTGAAACTCACTAGGTAGACCAGTCTGACCTTGAGCTTGCTGTCATCCTCCTGTTTCTACTCTACCTCTGTACTGGGATGACAGGCGTGTGACAGTACGCCCAGTAGACTTTGCTATCTTAAGTGACATGCTATAACACTTGGCAGGAGCATTGGGACGCTGCTTAGCAGTGGGGGATGCCAGCCACAGAAGTCCCTGGGCCCAGTCCCCTTGTTTCATACACAGAGGGTGAAGCACAGAAAAGAAACTGCCCAAGGTCACACAGCAAGGAGCATACAAACAAAGGACTTTTATGCTGTCATGGCACTTAGGGCCCCTCCAAACACCATGCCTTGCCTCCCCATTCCACAGATTGTGCAGGGATGATGGTTCGGCAAGTAAAAGTGCTTGTTGTGCAAGCCTAGTAATCTAAGTTCAATCCCTGAGACCTACCTAAAAGGACTCCGCATATTGTCCTTTGTTCTATATAAGTGTGCTGTGGCAAGCATGCACCCCCCAACACACACACACACACACACACACACACACACACACACACACACAAGTAAATAAACACAAGTAACTCCAGACCAATGTCTAACAAAATGAGTCAAGAAAGATAAGAGTCTAAGAAATATGAAACACAGCAACACATTGATTTTCCTTTAAGCAAACATTTAGTCTCAGATACAACTCAAGGTCTTTCTATCTCAACTGGCAAAGGTCCCTGCTAGTTTCTTCTTCAGTTGTGGGCTCTGCTCACATCAAACCCTGGGGAGATGGTTCAGTGGGTGAGAGGGCTTGCTGTGCAGTCACAGGGACCCAAACTCCACCTCTGGTATTCACATAAAAAGCTGGGCATGACCACGTGTGCCTGTAACATCAGTGCCATGGGGGTGGAGACAAGAGGATCACTGAGCTTACTGGCCTCCAGCCTAGCTCCAAGTTTAATGAGAGACCCTGTCTCAAGTGAATGAAAGGGACAGTGATGGAGCAGGACAACCAATGTCTTCCTCTGGTCTCTGTGCACACACACACGTCACACATGTATACACACTGTAGAAACTTGAACCTTAGCTCCTCCTTGGCTTAACATGTAGCCAGAGTCCTGCTAACATCTGAACCACTCAGAAAGGCAAGCGCCCATCCCTTTCTACTGTCCTGCAAAGCTAAAATGCCCAGCCTTTCTCTCCAACTGTCAGCCCAATGAGTGAGCCTTTCTTCCTCTTCTGGGGTTAAACAGTGGCACACAAGAAAACACAGTTTTCCTTCTATCTCCTGGCCAAACTTCTCCTCAGCAGAGGCTGAAGTTCCATTGGTTCTACAGGTGGAGAAAGGCTGGGACCTGGCTCTTGGCTCCTGCATCCATGGAACACTTCATTTCTTTCCTTCTGGAGATCTTTCCTCCTGTGTAAGAAATGCTTTGCAGACTCTTTCTAGTCTGGCTCATATAGGCAAAAAACCAAACAAACAAAAACAAGCAAACAAAAAAAAAACCCCTAAAAAACAAAAACGCAAAAAACAAAAGCATGTTGTTATAACAAAATGCTGAGGCTAGATATTTACAATAGAGATTTATTTATGGAGGTTTGGTGTCCAGAACATGGTGCTAATATATGATAGGGACCTTTTTATCTGTTTGTTTGTTATTAATTAAATTTTTCATTTATTTTACACCCTGACAGGTTTCCCCTTCTTCTCTCCTCCCATTCCTCCCCCTGCCTCCCCTCCTCTGTTTCTGTTCAGAATGAGGCAGGCCTCCCATGGATGTCCACAAAACGTGGCATATTATGTTGAGGTAGGTGGGACTAAGCTCCTCCCTATGTATGAAGGCTTGGTAAGGCAAGCCAGTATAAGGAATAGGTTCCCAAAAGCCAACTCTTTCTTTGGCAGAGACCAAGACAGGATGCAATGGGCAGTCAGGGAGTTAAGATTTTCCATGGACAACCTATGTGCCACTTGTCTGTAATCCCACTGGTTCCTGGGAATGGCAGACTGGGGTTGATGAATCTAAGAGGAGGGCTTCACTCCCCTGGGGGCCTGTCAGGTAACACTGGCGTAGAAACAACCATGACTCAGCATGGCAAGTGATGGTTCAGTTGCTGGATGCAATGAGATGATGTGTAAGAGCTGGGGACAGATGCATCAAGAATCAGAACAGACCCACTCCCATCCTTCAGGAAGCCAGAGGGTCATGTAAACAAGTGAAAGCAAGTAGTTAATCTTCTCTCTTAGGAGCCTGAAGGAGAGCAATGAAGCCTGGATGCCTCTGCAGAGTCATCCTTCCCTAATGATTCCAGGAAAGCATCACAGTGTTCTGGGGCGAGGGCTTCCCTACTTGTCCCCTAGGTGGTCTGAAGACTGTCACCTAGAAGAATGGTGCCGTCCCCTGTGAGCACTGAGCGCTGACATTGCTTAGCATCCTTCCTTGTGTAGCTGTGTCCCTCAGGGAACACACTCTCCATCACTCTCTCAGTGGTCCTTTGCAAACTACAGCAAACCCCTTCTATCCCCACTTCTACTCTTGATACCAAAGAAGCACCCAATGCAATGGCTGATGTGGAGACTATGCTATCAAAGGCATACCCGATTCTTCCAGGGCCCCAGTGTCAAAGACTTAGGTCCCAGGGCAAAATGGTTCTCAGCACTCAGCCTCCCTCTAAGCCATGTTCCTGCCTTTATGTATCAGGAATAATGTTC